CCCAACATATTGGTCAACGTCAACACCAACTACATCGTCAACTTGCTCGTCCAAATCGTCACCTATCCAAACCTGATCAATGTCGTGCCCCAACAACTGATCGTCGCCTTGCTGAACGCAATCGCATCTTATTTGCCCGCCTCCTTAAACTCCATTCCCCCGTACGTCGTGTCTGCTTTGTTGGGTTACGGTGGCGGTTGCGGAGGCGGATGTGGAGGCGGATGTGGTGGCTGTGCCGTCGGCGTCGCTAGTCTTGCTAACTAGACTCCTTAACTACTTTGTACCGAAAATATACCAATTAACTATTTAAATCATCACTTCTTCAAAAACACAATTGAATAAAATATGAATATACATTTTTAAAAAAAAAAACCTATTGAAATTGATTTTTTTGTCACTTTTATGTCAATTATTTTCCATCTTTTAACCTAACCTAACCTAACCTAATATCTAACCTTACTTAACCTAACCTAACTAACCTAACCTAATCTAACCTAACCTAATCTAACCTAACCTAATCTCTAACCTAACCTAATCTAACCTAACCTAACCTTTGCCTTGTCAACCGATCTTCTCGCTACTATTTTTGTTGCCTCGTAACTTGGTAGAGGCGTTTTCTTATTTAACTTTCCAAGAACTGTGTATACCTCGGTCGTCCAACATATAATTGGTGGGTTGGTAACGTTAATGCAGTGGTATTTTTTATGAGGTATGTTTTGTCAATCTCCGGCCAGGAAGACCAGAGTTTTTTTTCAAAACTACTTACACGGTAGTACAAAATATGGTAAACTGGGTGAGGTTGTCCAGCACTGTACGAAGAAGTGTTACAACCGGTTGACAATTTTTAATTGGGCTGTTAAAACGATAGAAATATGTGTGTAATATAACTTCGGTTACCCATCGAGAAGTTGAATTGCAATATTATTGTTAGTTATCGGTTACTAAGATGGAAATGTGGAGTAGAGTAGATAAACAAATAATCGCTGGTAGACATGTGCATAAAGAGACAAGTCTGTCTGCTACTGCGTGTGATAAGGCAACGTGTGAAAAGGCGAAGAAGAAGTGATAAGAGATATGGCATTCGACCAAAGGCCGTTGGTCAAAGAATGGTTCTTTTCTTTATCACACACAAGTCAAATGGGTTATCCCAAAATCTTCTTTTGCGTTGCAACTACTTAGTCAGTTTGACTGGAATAATTTGCTGATTTTTTTTTTATTTATCCAAGGAAGAGGGGACCCTATAGACGTTTTATCTGTCGATTGCGAAACAACCTTGAGTTTACACATTTTATTCGCTGACATTGTATGCTGCATTCATTTCAATGCATTCTTTTAACAGCGTGTTGTGCTATTCACACCGTGCGCTAATCATTTTCGTCGAGAACTGTGATAGAAGACTAACTATACGGGAAAAAAAAATAGGAACAATAGGATGTGTTGAATTTTTTTTTAAATGAAGCAAATTATTATTATTGTTGTTGTTGATTAAACGATATCCGGATAAGCGTGCAACGAAAACGCATCAGTGATTATTATTATATTTTCAAAGCGTGCACCGAAACGAATATTGTTGTTTTCAGTTACACCGGTTATCGGTGGTTTTGTATTTGTAAGATAATAATAGTTTTTGTCCGTATAAACAAACGTCTTGAAAAAAATGATACATGTATTTTATTATCATATCCTCCAATGTAATAATTTAGTGCAAGACCAGTATAAAATTACTCTTCGGTCGCATATGCCTATTTTAATTACTGTTGTCGTGTACTGCCGTTAGCATAGTGCCTCTCTAGGTTAAGTTAAATGATACTTAAGTATATAGACAGAGGTTGGTCAATGTTTCATGCGGGTAGAGGGGACTAAACATTTTTGTAAGACAAATCCGTCTTTCATGTAAGCCTACAGTGTACAACAAGTCTAGGAATATTCCTTTGTCATTTGCTTTGCCATACAACTTGTGTTGAATCTTATTTTGTGTCTAAATCAACAGCTCTACTCAACGTTTATCACCGATCTACATGTCGGTTGTATTATTCCATAGAAAATTATAATGATAATAATGTGTTTTAAGCTAAGACAAATATCTATCTTCTCATTTTTAGTGTGTAGCATTTTGTTTTTTGACCAGAAAATTTGAAATAATATTATTGGATATTGTTTATTTTGTGTTTTTTTTTTTAAATATTTAAACTATTTCCTGGCATGGAACGTTGTACATACTTAATTGGGTACTATTAAATTAAAACTTATGACTAAACCAAAAATAACAGATCACAATATAAATTATTTAACAGGTGTTATGCACACTATGTAGAAACAGTTTTATTTAAGTGTGACGCAAAGACAATATTGTTATTTTTAAAACAACAAAGCGATAAATGTTTTTAAAAAAAAAATAAACATCAGCCATCGCATCGAAGCTAAAAGTCTGGATTTTCTCCATCAGGCTTAAATTTCTAGGTCGCTGATTCGGCATTATTTTTCCATTTTACCTCTTACTTAAAGGATGATTGGTGTTAGTAGGGCTGAAGGGTTGCGATTTCCAACCTTACCTAACCTAACCTAACCTAACCGACGGTTATTGTGCTAAAAAATCGTTATGTGGTAGATCTCATATAGAATAGATAATGTTTTGTATAAAGTGTAGAAGACTATTACTATTGATACAAAGTATGTACTTTTTTTATCGCTCCCTCCATTAAATAAGAAAGGCTTAGATAACTGTAGTAACATGTTTGTGAAAACTACAATCAATCTTTTTGGTTTTAAACAAAACTATAATTCGTCTATTGTATTATTTTTCCACCAATGTTAGCATATAGATCATTTATAGATGTATACATATAATATATATATTTGGACAACTTATTTAGGTGTTATGACGGCGAGGAAGGAAGTGAATTTCTTACCATAGCAGAAACATTCGGAAAACCAAATTTAAAACTAAAATGAAAGTAATCGTAATGCAGTTTTTTAACACTTATTTTTTGTTTTTTGTTATAATTTGGATGTTTTTAGGTCAAGACGAATTCAGACTTGATTATGACCAATTTACCAAGGCCGCAATTCAAGGCCATATACCAAGATGGTCTATAGCTGTAAGTTGTGTGCAATTTTTATGTTATTTCTGATAATAGCGTTGTGTCAAAATTGGATTAAACAGCTGGCTTATTCGTTAACACGATTTTTTTTATTAAGTAAAAGGCTAAACAATATTATCCTCAATAGACAATACAAGCATAGTGATATTAATTTTTTTTTATTGTAATTAGTAATATGTCTTATGTAGATACGTTTTCACTGCTGTCACTATTTTTACTTTTAACACTCACAGTGTCTGCCTAAATATTGACTTAGACCATCACACACGTGTATTTGATGAACAGCGGTTATTCTATAAAACATATTTTAGTTTAGGAATAGGTACTCGAATTCCATCTGAAAATTGCAATTAAAATATAGTACCCTTGCAGATTCCTAGTTTAGCCCCAAAATGTATGTTTACCTCGGCAAAAAAATCACTTTTAACATGTTAGCCATGTTAGCCAATGGTCTTTGTTGTCCAGGCTTATTGTTTCAAAAAAATTAACTAATAACAGTGTACGTACAAACTATAGTAAACATGTTACAAACTGTTTATGTTTAAATATTTCATGCGGTATTAACAGTTTATAATTTGCTGTTTCGGCGCTGTGCTGTAAAAAAAAAAAAAAACAAAAGATTTATATTGTAAAAGATGTTTGATTTAAATTGAAGATTTTTAGGTGGAGAATGGATATTATTTTACGAAGGCTTCACGAGAGCCTTGAACCTTAGTTATCTTCCAAAACCAATGCAGACCAAATCAATACCTACAGAATGCAGTTCAAGATCATGCCGATAAGTTGTTACAACAAGGCAAACGCTAAGAGGTCATTTAAAATTATTAAAATGTATAAAAACAAATAAACGATCAATGCTAGTATTAATTAAATTCAGGTTTTCGAAAAAATCGAATTTGTCGATTTCGTTAAAGTGTTCAGTCAAAACAATTCCCATCAAAATGAAACTTAACCACTTAATCATTACCAAATCTTAAACATTTCAATTACATACAACTGAACAAACACACATGTACCTAAGGACATGACACATACATTGGTAGCGCAAGCCGAATAATACCATTTGTATGAACAAGTGTTGTCAGTTATAATTAAAAAATACATTTATTTATTTGTGATTTTTTACAAATCTACACAAAGTACATTTTAGCGTCCGTCTGTTGTCTTGCGAGCATAATAGGTTAACATAAGTCACACCATATCATACAAATTACTTGAATTTTATTATAGTATAAAACAAAAATATAATAAATAACTATGATTAGCAACATTTGTGCATTTTTGTTATGTTGTTTTGCTATAACGTCAAATATAAACAAAATCGAATCAGCAGGCAACAACAGGGTAAGCATTTAACAACATACAAATTATAACTTCAGTTGCCTTTTAAAAATACATAAATATATTATGTTGTATTGTTTCGGCAAACACACACACACAACTAAGAATATTTGTTTGATAAATGAGATGTTTCAAATAATTTGTAGGCATAAAAAACCAGTTCCAAATAAAAAAAAAAATAAAATTAATTTTGTATTTATTTATTTATTTATTTAAGAGCTGCATCAAACTTAAATTGTTTTATTTTCAAGCAAAATAGTCATTGAATACACCAATGATTGTTCAAAGAACGATTAGGTTATACTTTAGGTTTAAAATAGTAAGATAACAACAATAATTATTGTCAGCTGTTAAACGAAAACTCCAATTTGGTTAAATTTTAGAGTCAGGTACTTTTTGATAATTTTGTAAAAATGTTTAGATTAATCCTACTCGATTTTTTATTCAAACGTCTCATGAAAACTTTTTACGTGCCGTAAACAATTTGAAAACGTTCAACAAACGTCCAAAAATCGTTATTACACCCGCTGACGAGAAATTTCTGACAATGGAAAATGTTAACAACATTGACGATTACCGTTTAAAATTAAAAAGCCGCGATAAGTTAGAGAAAAAAGGTCGGGACATCTTGTGCAGTTTTTGTGTAATCGTACAATCCAACATAACGTGGTTGAAGAACACGGTGGAAGAGTTAATGGGCGGAGAGTCTTTCATCGATAACGCGAGCAACATAATACGTCTCAAACAGGAAGCCGAATTGATAGTGGCAATGTATCCGGTGGAAAACCTTCAAACGGGCAAATGGCTTTGGAGTTATTTTTTGAAATTGATCGCCATCAGACGGTACATAAACAATAAACGCTATATCCGCGAAAACCCGTTCGAAGACCACCAACTGCAAGCGGGTGTTTCGGATTTCATCGGCAATTGTGTGCTCGAAAAATACCTACCTCCTAGTGTAACTGAACCGGATTTTGTTTCGAAAAACCCGAGGACGCGCGATAAACTGTTGACCGACCTGCGCGATTCCAAATGGTTTAACGACTTTCCACTTGACCGCGACTACGACGCAATGGTAGAGTTTCTGTACCTGAAACCGTTTTGGACAGACCAAAGACACCTGTTGTTCAGAGCAATAACCCAGGGGTTCGATGTCGATTGGAGTGCGGTGAGACAACGGCACAGGGACGAGCTGGTCGTCACCAGGGAATTCGTGGAAAGCCGCGCTTGGATTCACAATCCGTACGGTCGGCTGGATCATCAACGGTTGGTGATCAATATTATCGAAGCCCAGTACTATTGCTACGTTTACGTTGTACTGTACGCTTATGAAAAACAAGTATCCGCACTGGACGAAGGGACGCTGGGAGAAGTCAAAGAACTCGTTTATGCGGTCATCAACGAAGCGCTGAACGTGTCGATCAAAGAAGAATTTCTCGTGCTCATCATATCGGAACTCGAGTTGACCGAAATGAGGAACGCCGACGACGTGAGAGACGTTTTGGCAAGAGTGAAGGCAAAGGCCAATGCGCTGCTGAACGATTTAAACGGTACGCGCACAAACCAAGTGGATCGGATCACTTTCGACGTCGACGAAGGCCAACTGACTACCGTCAGATTTATAAAGTCAATCGTGTTGGATTTCCATTTCTATTTAAACTCACTACGATTCTACTGCGCACCGTTCTCATATAAAACGCTTTTACATTTTATGGACCAAGTCAAATTGTCGGCTGCTCAGTACGTTTGAATTTTTAATCAATAACACAATGTTAATTTATTAAGTTAGCTTAAATAAACTATACGAAAGACTCTTAACGAAGAATTGCAATTTTTTGTCACGAGTTTCGTTCACGATGATTTTGAAAAATTAAAAAATATTTACTTTTTATATTTAAAATATTTAACATAATTAAAACTATATGAGCTACCGTATAGGGTTACCGAGAGCATAATAGGTTTGTATTTATTGTATTATACATGAAATACTTTGTTTTATTTTAATTATCAGCATATCATTATTTAAAAATGTATTAATAACAAAATTTTCATCTATCAAGTTGTGTAGTGTAATAAAAGAAAATAATCCAAAAGTGTCGCTGAATAAAAATTTATTTATTTACTTTTTACAAACAGTTTTACATAATAAAATCCTTAAGAGGATTGAGAGCGGTCAGTTTTTTTGACGTTTAAGACCAAAAAGCCTGACAAAATTTCGACTACTTAGGTTGATCAAGATTTCAGATCTGTAAAAATATACAAAACGAATTTTTAATATATTGTTTTTTTTTTTGAGTACAATAATTGTTGTTCAATGTTGAACATTTTAAAAATTTTAATTAATTAATTACAATACACAGAATTTTTTAATGGAAAACCCTACATAGCCAGAAGTAGTCAAAGAACTTGAATGACTTTACACATTTGCAATTTGACCATATTACATAGGTTTAATTTTGTCAGGTCTTGGTCTAAATTATCAATAAAATAGCATCTAATCATTAAAAAAATTGTATAAGTCAAAAAAAATAATTTAATGCTTTTACCAATTGATCTGTTATTAAATACTGACATGGTCCAAATTTTGTAACACCCATTTTTTCTTAATTATTGCATAAGCATAAAGATTTGCGTTAATTATATCATATTGTATGAAATAATATTGTTACCATATTGTTATACATGTATTTATCATAGCAATTCTATAGTTAAATAATAATAAATAACCATGATTAGCAACATTCGTGTATTTTTGTTACGTTGTTTTGCTATAGCGACAAACATAAAAACATTCTAATCATAAAATCACCAAGTAAACAATTATATTAAAATATATATTTTCTTGGTAGTTTTTTTAGCACTATGAAAAAATAATTAAATTTCTTATTACACCCCATGAGATATTAAGTGGTTCACGATAAAACGATCACCCTGTCTACGAAATTAAGAACACCTAAACGAAAAAAAAAAATAATTGGAGAGTTCTGAAAAATATGCTATACCGTTCACTGCTATTTAAATGTCAAATTAGTAACACAATGTTCGTAACTCAAGTTGTAATGTGAAAACAGAAAAATATAATATTGAAAACCAATGCAATTCGTATGAACAAGTGTTGTCGAGTAAAATTGAAAAAAAAAAGAATTATTTACTTATGCTTTCTCACAATTTAACACAATAAAAACTTAAGCTACAATGTACGATTTGGCGGCCGTCTAACGTCTTGCGAGTATAATAGGTTTGAATAAGTCACACCATATCATACAAAAGACTTGTATTTTAAAATAGTATAATTTAAAAGTTATAATAAATAAACATGATTAGCAACATTTGTGCATTTTTGTTGTTTTTTTGCTATAACATTAAGTATAAGAACAATCAAAATAGCACGAAACAGTAAGGTAAGCATTAATTTTGAGTTACATATACTTTTATGAGAAATAAATTCAATCTTATATTTTGCAATTCATAGCAGTTGTACAATATGAAAACAATAATTACTTCCATTAAAATGTTTTATAATAATAGAAAGCTTTTACAACGTTATTTTGGTTATAACACATAGGTACAGCTAAGAATATTTGCTTAAACAAGTTTCTATTAATTTAGCAATAATAATAAATTTTTAGACTAAAAAATCAAAATAAACTAAATTTAACAGTTACGTCATACTGAAAATTAAGTTAATTTTATTTTGAAGAAAAATAGTCATTGAATAAATCATAGATTGTTTCGAGAATAACCAAATTACATTTTTAACTTTAAATAGTAAAACAACAATTATTACCTAACCTAACGGACCACTCTTATTTGGTTTATTTTTCAAGAAACTTTTCTAGTAATTCTATAAAATTATAATTTTTTTTTTTTTAAGATTAATCCTACACGATTTTTAATAAAATCAACTCATAAAAACTATTTACTTTGTTATATAAAGTCTACTGCTACCCGTTCGAATATAAAACGCTTTTGCGTTTTACGGATTTAGTTAAATTGTCTGCTGCTCCATACGTTTAAATTTTAAATCATTCACACCATGTTCATAAATTGTGTAAGGTATTTTGAAATAAAAAAAAATATATATCCACTTTAGTAAGTTTGCAATATACATGAAATACTAATTTTATTTTAGTTATTGTATTTTTTTCAACATAATCAAAAAATATTAATAACACCGTGTTCATCCATCAGGTAGTAATCAACGTAGGGTATTAAAAGAAAATGATCCAAAATTATTTCGTTTCTTTATGATTTAGACAAGTGTTGCAGAATAAAAATTAAACTTAATTAACTTACCCTATTGAAACAGTTTCACATAACAAACAAAGGAATTGAAAGAGGTCAGTTTTTTGACGTTTAAAAATGAAAAACCTGACATAATTTCGACTATTTAAGATGGTTCGATTTGTAAAGTTCTACAAACGGGTTTATCACACAAACACTACTATTAAATAACAATCAACAACTGTGATTAGCAACATTCGTGCATTTATTGTTATGTTGTTTTGCTATAATGACATACATAAAAACAATCGAATCAGCTAATCGCCCAGTAAGTTTTTTTGAGGTTTTCCCCAATTTGGTAGGTGAAGAAGTTGACTTTTTTTACTTTAAACCTACAAATGTACCAATCGCAAAACATTTCGGTCCATAGAGTTGCTACTCGAGTAAATCGGTCCGGAGAAAATCAAGTTATCGTTTAGACAAAACAAAAAAACTCACATCATTGTAAAATGAAGCTAAAATATGTTTAGCCTGTAACAAAAAAAATGTATATATATATATATATATAATATTTACTTTATGAGCAGTTTATACACACACATATACACAGAAGACAGGCTAACACAATTATCACATCTCAGTAATTGGCTAACTAAAGCGACACTCATAATATATTTTAAACAACCACTTTAATAATATATACTGTTATAGAAATAATTGTTAACAATTTTATTCAACAAAGCAAAATCCATTCTTTCAAAATAGAATAGAATAATTTTCCAAGCAAAAGTTTTAGTGTCGATTTTTAAAAAATCATATTTGTGTCCTTTATCACCGAATTAATAGTAATCCTTTCTATCTATTATTCACAAATCACACAGTTTCATTTAATTTAATTTTAAAAAAAATGGGACTTTGTAATTAATTGTATAGCCCCATTTTTGTATTATCTCATTTAAGACACATGGCTGTAAAAAAAAAAATAGTTCTCTGCTCACTTCTCGTCAGAAAATTAGAAAACTGCATGTAATCACAATAGTTTCATACTTCACACATTACATGGTAGTTATAATAATCTGACTGATACTATAAAACATCCACTGTGCATTCACTGCATTCGTAACACGCATTTTATTTTTAGAGTTACTTTTTTTAATTATAAAAATGTATAAATTATTCCAGATTTGTCCTACACGATTTCATATTACACCAAACTGTTATACCTATTTACGTGCCCTAAACAATGTGAAAACATTAAAAAAACGTCTAAAAATTGCAAAAATCACATTAAAATGACGAGGTAAATCTGGCAACAAATGCTTTTGGCAGTGCTGAAGAATACCGTTCAAAATTAAAAAGCCGCGATAAGTTAAAAAACGGCGAACCTTTCATTAACACCGTGAATGTTATAAGACGTGTGAAAACGGAAGCGGAATTGATAGTTATTCTATTTCCGGTCGGAAATTTACAAATGGGCAAATGGCTTTGGGGTTATTTTTTGAAAATCATCGCCATCAGACGGTACGATGACAATCATCTCTATATCCACGAGAACCCTTTCGAAGACGACCAACTGCAAACCGACATTTCACATTTCATCGGAAATTGTATAGCTGAAAAATACCTACCCCGCCTGTAATGGAACCTGATTTTGTGAGGAAAACCGAGAGCAAATACGTTCAGATGTTCACCGATCTAAGGGGTTCCAGATGGTTTAGAAAATTGATTGCATCGCATCCACTCGACCGTAACTACAATGGAATGATAGAGTTTTTACATCTTGAACCGTTTTGGGAAGACCAAAGACAGCTGTTGTTCAGAGGAGGGACCATTAGCCAAGGGTTCAATGTCGATTGGAGTAAGGCAAAGGCCAATGAAGTCCCAAACGATTTAAACGGTGCAAACAAAAACCGAATCGAATGGCTCAGTTTCAACGTCGACGAAGACCAACAGCTGTCTACTGACGGATTGATAAGGATAATTTGATACGGATTTTCACTCGTATTTAAGCTCATTAAAAGCCTACATTTGAAAGTCATTAACACGGTGTTCTTAAATTGAATTAGCTGTATATTGAAATGAAAAAAATCTCAACAATTGACGTATAATTTTATCGAGAGCATAATAAGTTTTGTAATTATTGTACTATACATGAAATACTTATTTTTTTTTTTAGTTATAGTATTTTATTAAACATAATCAAAATATATTAATAACACAATGTTCATATATCAAGTAATGACCGATGTAGTGCAGTAATGGCAAATATCCATAATTATTTCACTTCTTTGCTATTTAGACAAGTGTTGCAGAATAAAAATTAAAGTCAATTAACTTACCTTATTTTACCTTATTGATTAAGTGCCATTTACTGTTTTTTCGGTTATTGTATTGGTTAGATTAACTGTACACTAATAATGATTTTTATGCAATAAATTTTAACAACTACTTTAATATATCAAATTATACAAATAATTGTTAACAATTTTATTGATAAAAGCAAAATCCGTTCTTTCAAAATAGAATAAAATAATTTTCCAAGCAAAAGTTTTAGTGTCGATTTTTAAAAAATCATATTTGTGTCCTTTATCACCGAATTAATAGTAATCCTTTCTATCTATTATTTACAAATCACAAAGTTTCATTTAATTTAATTTTTAAAAAAAATGGGACTTTGAAATTAATTGTATAGCCCCATTTTTGTATTATCTCCTTTAAAACACATGGCTGTAAAAAAAAATAGTTCACTAGAAAATTGCTTATAAGAATATACTTTATATATGATATTTTCATATATTGTCATCGCCTAACAAGACACGGGTTAAGTTTAAAGTTGTTTGATCTAATCATTTTATTACTATTAAAATGTAAAAATTATAAAATAACTATTATATTATATAAAAAAAATTATAATGTACAAGTATGTATTTTATTAAATTAATAAAATAAATAAGTAAAATAGAATAGAAAATTAGAATTAGGTAATATACTTAATATAATATGTATATTGTACATTTTATAAACCGTAACAAAAAATTATTAGGTAATTATATTTTAATAAAAAATTATAAATGAAATTTGAATAAATCTGAAGTGATGATATAGGTAATGATATAATCCGAAAACGGTTTTTTTAGTTTTTTCTCTCTTTTCTTTCTTGTTATTTCTTTGTGTGATTAAATTTAAATAATTAACAACTACATATCATTGCTATTTAAATACAATTAAAAAAGAATTAGGTTTATTTATATATGTAGGCCGTAATATAAAATAAATAAACTGCAGTTCGATTCCGTTCACCTTAAACATATTTTTGTAACATTAGCTATGCCTAAAACAAACGCGGAGAGACAAAATGAATTCAACGAGCGCCAAAAATCTATTTTCAGAACTTCTCAAGTAGCATCTACTAGTACTTCCACTAGTAGTAGTGTATGCTGTTCCACTGTGTGTAATGTATGTGCTAGATTGTGGTATGATAATGATTTTAAAAAACCTCCACATTGTTCAAAAGATATTCTATAATTTTATTTCAGATAGAACCCGTTACACAATATATTCATTTGTGGGAAACACAACCGATTTTCATTTAAGCGTAGACATTTTTACTGTGATTTCTCGTTTACAGAGGTAAGGAATGAACTTAAAAACACAATAAATCTGAAGAGTAGTTTAGAGGGTAAAATTAATAAAAAATTATTTTAGTTAAAAGATAAAAAAAAAAAAGTTTAATAATTATTCGACATTTTTATGTCAATAATTTTTGGAACGAAGTTCCTTATTTTATTTAAATAATTCTCAGGTTTCAATTCACTATTTTAGCATATTTATGCATTATTGTTAGATTACAAATTTTAATTATCACAATAATGCTTTCTCTCAGAAAATACAACTGAGAAATCACAAAAGAGTACACACTGGTGAGAAGCCACACAAATGTGGTGTGTGCTTAAAAGCATTTTCTCAAAATTCCAAACTAACAAGACACAATCGAGTACACATTAGATAAAAGCTATACGAAATACGTGATGTATGCTTGAAGTAATTTTCTGTTAACTCTGAACTTAAATCACACAAACGAATGCACACTGACCTACAAATGATGTGTGCTTAAGCTTTAATTGAATAAAGTTATCTGATCAAATACGACATTAAAACACGCAATTCTATATTTAACTAATACTTTTATTAATAATAAGTGAATGTTCAATATTATATTACATTTTAATTGTTAATTATGTATTTGATATCACAAGACGTAAGTCGGATCTGTCGCTAACATTTTGGCTATTTTGTATAGTTTTGCATTCTGTAAACAATCACAAGAGGTTTAACTGGGACGCCGTTCGGAGAGGTTATGCTAAGATTTTTACCTGTCCGGCAGTATGGACGTCTATTTTTTCACCGGGTACACCGTCCACTTGTCCGGACATGAGCACGTTACAAAATAATCATGCAAACATACGTTTGGGTATTTCATTTTTGACATCTGCGGACATAAAAAGTAATTTTCAAGTTCTGTGTAGTTAGTCCAGGTAATTGAACGAAAACTCGAGTATAAAGTTAAAATAAATATAACTCATCCTTTACTAAAACACAGTCAAATTAGAAGTAAGAATGCCATTTAATAGCATCAGACGATGAATATATCCACTTCATAGGTGGTATAAAAATAATAAAAACGTCGTATAATATGATAACGTAATCAATGGTCAAGAGTTAAATTAACATTATGAGAGAATTTAACTTCCCACAAAAATTGATAAGGTTAGTGGAGATAAGTATTATGGAGACATTTATTAAAGTCAAAGTTGGAAGTAGTCAAACGGAGCCAATATCAGTAAAGTCAGGTTTGAGACAGGGCGACTCAATGTCACCGGTGTTATTTAATATAATGTTAGATAAAATCATTAGAGCAATGAACGTTAGACCCGTCGAAGGAGTGAAACTACAGGACTCCGCAATAGGCCTATTGGCGTACGCGGACGATTTAGTACTAATGGAAGAATCACCTAATGCTTTGAAATCACTGTTCAACCGTCTACAAAGAATGGCGTCGAAAGTAGGATTACAGATAAACGAAACCAAAACGGAGTACATGGTCGTTGGCAGATGAGAAACTGCGGGTGTGTACCCATCCTTGAATGTAAGAAACTATGTTTTCAGCAGAGCCAAGCAGTTTAAATACTTAGGGTCATTTATATCTGGAAGGAATGAGATAGTCAAGGAAATTTCAGCAAGGTTACTTGCCAGCAATAGATCTTTCTATGGACTAGCAAAACTGCTAGGATATATATCTTTATCGAGGGAGCTTAAGATACAGCTATATACGACATTACTGCGTCCAGTTGTAACCTACGGAGTGGAAATGTAGCCACTACGAAAAGACGAAGATGAAAGAAAGATGATAGTATGGGAGAGAGGAATAAGTTCTAAGGAAGATTTATGGACCGATGAAAGATAACAAAAGCAATGAGTGGAGGATAAGGACAAATAATAAGCTAGAATTGCTATAAAAAAAAGGAATAACACTTACGCCTGCTTCAGCCGTTATCGCCTGACGCGCCGTGGTCGACCTGGCAGCCTTCGTCTGTTGGGCAAGGGGTGCCGTCGAGCCCGCAGCTCTAGCCGTAACTTTCTGATTTACCGTAGTCGGCGATCCAGCCTTGGTCTGTTGGGCAGGGGGTAACGTCGTGCCCGCAGCTCCAGCCGTAACTTCCTGACGCGCCGTTGCCGACGAGGCAGCCTTGGTCATTTGGGCAGAGGGTGCCGTCGTACCCGCAGCTCCAGCCGTAACTCCCTGACTTGCCGTTGCCAACAGTTGGGCAGGAGGTGCCGTCGAGCCCGCAGCTCCAGCCGTAACTTTCTGTCGTGCCGTGGTCGGCAGCAAACCAGCCTTGGTCTGTTGGGCAAGGGGTGCCATCGAGCCCGCAGCTCTAGCCGTAACTTTCTGACGCGCCGTGGTCGGCAAACCAGCCTTGGTTTGTTGGGCAAGGGGTGCCGTCGAGCCCGCAGCTCTAGCCGTAACTTTCTGACGTGCCGTGGTCGGCAGACCAGCCTTGGTCTGTTGGGCAGGGGGTAACGTCAAGCCCGCAGCTCTAGCCGTAACTTTCTGACTTGCTGTGGTCGGCGATCCAGCCATGGTCAGTTGAGCAGGGGGTAACGTCAAGTCCGCAGCTCTAGCCGTAACTTTCTGACTTGCCGTGTTTGGCGATCCAGCCTTGGTCTGTTGGGCAGGGGGTAACGTCAAGCCCGCAGCTCTAGCCGTAACTTTCTGACTTGCTGTGGTCGGCGATCTAGCCTTGGTCAGTTGAGCAGGGGTAACGTCGAGCCCGCAGCTCTAGCCGTAACTTTCTGACTTGCTGTGGTCGGCGATCTAGCCTTGGTCAGTTGAGCAGGGGGTAACGTCGTGCCCGTAGCTCTAGCCGTAACTTTCTGACTTGCCGTGTTTGGCGATCCAGCCATGGTCAGTTGAGCAGGGGGTAACGTCGAGCCCGCAGCTCCAGCCGTTACTTCTTGACGCGCCGTTGCCGACGAGGCAGCCTTAGTCATTTGGGCAGAGGGTGCCGTCGTATCCGCAGCTCCAGCCGTAACTCCCTGACTTGCCGTTGCTGACAGTTGGGCAGAGGATGCCGTCGAGCCTTCTGTTTGCGTTGTCATGGACCGACAAGACTGAGTCGATGCATCTGCAGTTGGCATGGTCTGAGACCGCTTCTCTGCCGTTTCCGTGGCCTGGGATGACGCCTGCGCAGTCGCGGTGGCCTGCGTCCACGACTGCGCAGTGGCCGTGGCCTGGCACGACGATTCCCTCAATACCACCGCTGGTGGCGTCATCGAAATATCTACCACCGACGACGATGTTTCGGGTGTATCTGACTCCACCGGCGATGTAAGCGGAGTGGCAAAAAATGGCAGGGGGTTCTACAACAGAAAAAAACGATTTCAGTAAACAAATTTTCACTTATAGACCATTAGTCTGATTTGTGATAGTATGACCGTTTGTGCACATAGGTCATATGCAGTGTACTTACCGGCTGCCAGTACGACGCATATGGGACGTATGGCACGTATGCCTGCGAATCCATAACCACCTGCAACGGTGTAATTATATTTTATAAACGAAATTGTATAAAAATAACTTATAGTATGTATCAAGTACAACTTCATTTTTGATTAATTGTTGTAAAAAAGGTTTAAAGTTAATTTTCATCTTAATGGTGTTCATTTAGTAACAGTATAGCTTATGCTCCAAGCCTATTTCTTGTAAGTCCAAAATAGCATGATATTATAGTTTATGTATACTTGCTTAAGTTTACTACGGTTTTATTTCATTAAAACACAAATGTATCGTTTGGGTGTACGAGAAATTCAAAAAAATATATTATCTTTTGTGTGTAATTGAACACATTACCAAATAGGTTTTATTAACTAAAATCGTATTGGATCATAAACCTCGAATAAACTTCATGAACTTTTGTAGACTTAAGAGGACGTCGCAGGTAATCTTTTTTATAGCTACTGTTCGTTAACATTTATATAACAATGGACAGAGTAGAAAATACAATACCCATCATAGTTTGAATCATTCTGATAACTTAATTACTTTTTTTTAGCGTATAAATAATTTTCTCAGATATCAGAATAAACTTGGTACCTCGTACCAGCGTACTTACTTATTAACATTTATATTGGAGCATACTTATTTTGCACGTCTGTTACAATAAAATACGCGTTTCCAAATTTGCTTAGCCTATATTGGCCATGGTCGTAATGAATATTTTAGTTTTTTTTCTTTTTTACTGTTTTTTTTTTTATAGTATTATAGGTCACCAAACAAAATCATTAAAAATCAGTATTTTATGTAAAACATTTCAGCTTTCTGGTAATTCATTTATAAATCCAAAATTAATAATTGAAAACATGTTTATAAAAATTCTTTAATTATTTAATAAATAAATTAATTATTTAAGTGCTGGACGGGTCATATATAATATTCTATGATTTATTTCATTAAATAATAATTATATATAAATCTAACACTATTTCATAAAAAAACAATGTGTACATATGTAAATTTTGTATAATAATTTTTATCTATAAAACACACAACACAATAGGAAAAATGAAAATGTGGCTTCTCTGTGCAACAAAAATACAGTATTTCCCAAGTAAAGTCATATTTCTACAATATTTACAAATAATATAATTAGATAAGCTTAGATTATCTGTTGTTATCCCGAAAATTATAGTGGTCACCGCCGACACTGTTGCGGAATTTAGCTTTGTTATAAAAAAAAAAAAAAAAAAGAATACGAAATCATAATTGAAATATATTGTGAGTAATACAATTCGGTAATGGATAAAATGCAATTTAAATTATAAAGTTCAATTTTTATACTTTGGCACTTAGAACGTTTGACAAATTCATTTTTCAAATATTTATGTTAGATAAATACGTTTTTAGTGGTCGGCATTGAATGAGGGGGGTGGCTTAGATTGAGAGTAAAAAACACCGTCTTTACGAAAAATAAGAACATAGAAATTACGGACACCAGGTAATACAAAAAAAGAAATGGAGACCCCCCAAAAATCAAAATGTTGTTTAAAATACATTACTGTTCTATACGGTTTATTGCAACTAAAAATTGACTGTTGTTAATTTACACGCAGCAACTTAAAAATTTCCAATTTTGGTCTGAGGAGGGGAGGGGGCCCCACACTAATTTTGGTCTGGGGTGTAAACATTGTGTTACAATGTTTCGGTTTTTCGGAGAGGTAGTTGAATATTTTTCCGATTTTTTTTACAGTGTGCAATAACCCCCCTCCCTCCCGCCGTTCTGATCATTGTCCTACAAACTGCATGCTGAATATTCGTCTGAACACTAAGATTAGTTATAATATTATGTATCTCGTACAGAGTGATCATTTTATCGTGAACCGCTCAATATCTCATTATACACTAATTATGTTCAACATCGTTTCCCCTAAATTTCTCCTGTTTCCTTTGCTCTTGGGGGGTCGAACCCGTTGCATATAGGTCCTGGACCAATCCAGACAGATTAACGGCCTCGGGATGAACAAAATACCGCTATGCGGCAAAAAACACACTGCAAAAATCTCAACATTTCTAAATTGAAATTAGAAAAATGAATGTTTTTCGCTAATTACTCAGCCGCTAGGGTAGAGAGAAGGTTATGGGACACCGCATTGGAATCACAGTGTGTTCAGCCATCTACTGAGACTTAGCGCGCGATAACCCTAACTTGGACAGGGGATCCACCCCCAAGGACCACCTTATCTTAAGTCCTGCAACCTGACACGGCTCGCCGTGAGCGCTCAGCCCTACTAGTAGTCGGTCACGGGCGGTCTCTCCAGGGTGAACGACAAGGCCAGGGAACATCATACAACTGCCATGGACGTGCTAAGCTCTTAACAAACGTTCATGATAAAATCTTATAATATATATATATATATATACGTACCCAATAATAATAAGGGTATGCTCCTTCCATTTTGAATGAATGCAGGTTTGATAGTTAACAATATTACAATTATTAAATTCAGTGAAACAAAAAATGCTATCTGTACGACAGAACACGAGGTAATAACATTTATCCACGGTAACCCAGGTATATATCGATTTTTTTTTTTAGGAATTATTTAGCCGGCAACGCGTTTTTTAATTTAATTTGCTTAAGTTTATACATATGGTAAACGAATCGTGTAAGTTAGGAAGAAAAAAAAATCAATTAGTAATAATTAAACCCGGTGAGATATTGACTGGTTCTTGACAAAAGAATCACCCTGTATACATATTTTATACGCACAGTGAAAATGTGTACCAGAACCAAAATGTTCAAGTTACGCCACTGAACAACAACATGATGTTAGCAACATTTCTCTTTAATTCACAAGACGTGAATCCCAAGTGGGAGATTTGCAAATCATTAGAAATAGGCGTGTTTAATTTATAACTTATAATTTAAAAAAATTGAACTGAACATTCTCAATTATGTCTGTACCCCCCCCCCCCACAGTTTTAGTGTGGGTGGGAATTAGCTCTGGTACATAACCGAAAAAAGTGTTACCAAAAAATTATTTTTCAGTTACAATTTGATCGATGTGAACGCAACACATAATTTAAAATAACAGCGTTACGCTTTTTCGGTAACACTTTTTTCGGTTCTGTGCCAGAGCTAAATCCCACCCCAACCCCAACCCCATCCCTCATATCTTATCTCTTACCCCCCATCTCCGATCTCTCATCAGATAACAGCGTAACGTTTTTATGACGACAAACTTTTGCGTTGTTACATTGCTACCATATTAAATTTTATCACAGATAAAAATCATGTCATAAAACATAAAACTGACACTATGAAAATATATTCACAAGACAAACTGCTAACAAGTTATACCAATATCATCTGGCAATTGAAAAATAAATATTGATACATCTGTGTGCATAATACTACAATAAACGTGTAAAGTATTATTGACTTATCATAATTCAAACCATTCGATTATTAAGTTAATATATGCAATATAAATAAATACGTACATATTTCTTGACATAAAATGACGGATTTGTTATTACTTTTTTCTAATAAGTTAAATCGTAGAAATTTGTAAAAAAAAAATTATGTAGGCAGAGTATAATATATAATCAACATACGTCAGCAGACCAAAAAAAAAAACCCATTTGTGAGAACAAGTGTTGTCGAATTCAATTAAAAACTGTAATTATTTACTTATGCTTTTAATTAATTCTATACTATGTACAATAAAGCGGCCGTCTAACGTCTTGCGAGTATAACAGTTTACTTTGACTTATACTACATAAGTCACCCCATATCATACAAATTACTTGAATTTTATTTAAGGTGGTATAATTGAGAACATAATAAATAACTATGATAGGCAACATTTGTGCATTATTGTTATGTTGTTTCGCTATAACGTCAAGTATAAAAGAAATCGAATCAGCAGGCAACAGCAAGGTAAGCATTGATTTTGAGCTATCATTTTTTTGTGAAGTAATTTGAATGTTATATTTTGCGGTTTACACAAGTTGAACCATATAAAAATTATTACAACCGTTAAAATGTTTTATAATAATTGGAAGCTTCTGCTGTGTATAATAATATACTTTATATATGATATTTTGTTAAACTACAACTACAGCTAAGAATATGTATGGACAAATGATGAGTTAACTTAACCATAATAATATATTTTTAGACAATTAAAACAATATAAATTATATTTAACAGCTACTATCGTACCGGATATAAGTTTATTATATTTTGAAGCAAAATAGTCATTGAATAAACCATAGCTTGTTTCGAGGACGACCAAATTACATTTTTGCTTTTAAATAGTATACTAACAATTATTAGCCGTTTAAACCGAAAGCTCCGATTTGGATTATTTTTAAAAATTATACTTTGATAGCTATATAAATTTAAGTATTTTTTTTTTTAGATTAATCCTACGCGATTTATCATCCAATCGACTCATAAAAATTATTTACGTGCCGTAAATAATTTAAAAACTTTCAACAAACGTCCAAAAATAGTTATTACACCCACAGACGAGAAAAAACTGTCAACAACAGATTGCGACAGCATTAATGAATACCGTTTAAAATTGAAAAGCCGCGATAAGTTAGAGAAAAAAGGTCGGGACGTCATGTGTAGTTTTTGTGTAATTGTACAATCCAACATAATGTGCTTGAAGAACATAGTCGAAGAGTTAATAAGCGGAGAAACTTTCATTAGTAACGAAAGTGTTAAAATAAAACATTTTAAACAGGAAGCCGAATTAATAGTTGCACTATATCCGGTGGAGAATCTACAAACGGGCAAATGGCTTTGGAGTTATTTTTTGAAATTGATCGCCATCAGACAATACGACGACAATAAACACTATATCCACGAGAACCCTTTCGAAGACGATCAACTGCAAGCAGGTGTTTCGGATTTCATTGGCAATTGTGTGCAAGAAAAATACCTACCTCCGGCTGCAGTTGAACCGGATTTTGTTACAAAAAACACGAGTACAAGCGATAAGCTGTTTACCGACC